ACGAAACGCTGAAAGTTTATAAGGTTGTCCTCGAACTCCTCCAGCAACTTCTCACAGATGGATGTGTGCCGCCGGAAAACAAATCCTTTGCGTCTCATGAATTGATGCACCCAAAAGTTTGGCACACGAAACTCTTCTCTCATGAGCCCAGCTTCTCGAGCGAGTTCCACGGCTTTCTTGGTATCCACGGTCATTGGCAGCAAGCGCGCACGAACTTCCCGCACAAAGTCTGCTAGTGTATCTTCCAGCTGCGGATGAACCGCACTTCGCCCACGAAACAACAACGTTTTCCGAGGATTGCACACCTGCAGCTTCGCTTTCTGCGCCCTTCAATAGTGCACGTTTTTTTGCGATATACAAATGCAGTGCTGAGCAGCCATATTCCTGTCCGCTTCTGCGAACTTAACAACATCTAGTTTAACCGCAGCTGAGTACTGCCTCCTCGTACCGCTACTCATATTCAGGGCACGAATAAAAAAAAAACGACCACTAAAGATGCAATGCAATGTCAAGCGGAGCGAAACCTCAGAACAGATTGGAAGCAAATCATGAATTCAAAGAAAACAGACAAAGAGAGAGAGAGAGAAAAAAACAGCCTGCTATTGGATTTGAATGCGGATATGGCCGTCCCCGGCTTCTCGCAGACATGCAATCTACATGCTGCCAGATAGCGGCACACTGTCAGCTAGACACCGCTATATAAGACGAGGGGCGACTTTAGCTCGTTGTTTTATTAAAATTATCTCGACTTGTATTGCTGTTTATACGTTAGCAAAACATGAACTTTTATTCTCAAAGTTGAAAAAGTGTTGGCTGCTTCCTTCTCTTCCCGTGTCATGATGCATTTCTCACAGATGCAAAGTGATACATCTTCAAAAGCACACTGGAACAACAGCTTTTATGAACAAGCTGAGTCAAGCAGTTGTACTAACTTATGAACACTAGCAGCTGCCAGCCATCACAAAACACACTCATACCTCATTATCACAAAGTTCCATCTTTCACGAAATCTTAACACTATATCTATTGCAAAACTATTCCTCATTTACTTTGTAATGACATATCATTATATTTGTTATATATAACATTTCGTTATATTCAGGTTCATTATAACCTGAATATAAATATATATGATATATAATATATATGATATATATATATCATTATAACCTGAACCTGAATATAACATTTCGTTATATTCAGGTTCATTATAACGAGGTTTGAGTATCTGACAATGCCGAGATGCAAGCATGGTATTGTGAAGCGATGACTTATGCCCTACTGTATGCTACCCTTGTCATCCACTAGTCACGGCAGGCTGATTTTGTTGATAACGCGGACAAACAGTCACTTTGACCAGTGACCACACTGGCCAAGAGCAAATGGAACGAAAAGCACTGGCATCGTAAAAGGCATTGTTCTGAGAAAGCACCCGGAAGCAACATGGAGAACTGAGCCAGTGAGCTCCAGCTTCGACTTGTCGGCGGCTAAGAAGCAAGTCAGTGGCAAAAGTAGGGTAGTTTCATTGCCATCGCTATTGAGCAACAGCAGCCCCCGTGCTCAGTAAACAGCGACACCATGGTACAGTGGTGATTTCTGCTGGTGTCAACATGCGATTCAGACTTCGTAGATACATTTTTATGTTCTAAAAGTGCATGGAAATGTTCAAGATTGTGTTTACTGAACGGCATTAAGGGGGGACATGGTTCTTAGGGCTCTCTCATTTATTTTTAAACCAAGTGTGACAAAAGTTGTCACGTTTACTTAGTTTGTTCTCTGGATTCGAAAAATGTAGTTATTTTTTCTGTAGCTTCATTAGTTAATGAAATAATCAAGATAACAATTTCTATTGTTCTTATCATAATAGAAAAATAACCACCTGTCAAAAATTTTAAATAACATAGGGATTGACAGTAGAAAGCATAAGACATGCAACATAAGAAGCACTTTTTTGAATGGGTCATTATTTCTTACTTTACAGTACACTAAACTTAACAGCCCTGAATGTGGCCATTGTGTGGTCACACAAAAGACTAGTTTGAAAAACTTGCATCAAGAGATATCAAAATCTGCTTCCTATGTTGTGTGCTCCAAACATATAGCTTCATGCTGCAAAATAAAATATTCTGCTATCTGTAATAGTTTCAGAAATATTGCAGTAATTTTCATGCAGGGTGTACAAAACTGCAATTTTGAGAAAATGAAGAAAACAAAGAATTCTAACATTTTTAACTGTAAAAATGTATGCACTTGTAATTACATCGTCATGGACATATAAACGAATGCTAGAAAGACTAAGAAGTGCAATGCTGCAAGCTGATCGAAAATTGAACTAGTACTTCTCGAATTACAGCACAGTAAAGTTCATTGCATATAACGAAATACAAAAATTTTTAAATTAAAATAAAAAAAAATGAAGCTACCATTAAAGATAGGCTCCCAGCATTGTTTTTTGTGCACATTTAGCTACGTTGTGCAAAAACAATTACAGCTCTAGCTGTCCTAGGTCCACTTTTACCGAACAAGCAAAAGAAAGTGGTCAAAATCTGTGCTTCGAGAATAATCCTGTTAAAACTTAATTTCGCCGTTCCAAGAAAAAAATATCATGGCACACATAATTTTAGTCAGTTAATATGCACCGGGAATGTAATAGGACTGATTGTTTGTACGAGCGTGTCGTTTCTTCTAGTCCTGTAGCAAGTTGTCGCCGTGTGCTCGTCTGCCGCGAGGCCGCTTATCAGTTCGGTGACTGTACTGAGGGCGATGTGCGACAAATGTGCGTGCGTCATCCACGATCCGCCGAATAACGCGGCGATGTTTTCCGGCTTGTCCAGAATAAGTTACCCGTAAGTGTCGCGAACCAAAGTTGCTCCCTCGCTCATCAATTTCGAGGCTACACAAGTGCCAAGGTGTTAGTTTCCTTTTCACGTAAGACTTTCGAGCGGAGATTGCGAGTGGAGATTGCGACAACATTGCGAACACGTCATTAAAAGCAGTCTACCTGTTGCCAGTAGCCTCCATTGCGAGGGCCGCGAGCATGTTCACTGCGAACTGATTGACTTTCTGTTCTTGGTCGACGCGCCGCGTACTCCACTCTGACGACCCCTAGCACAGTTCAAGGTCCTTTCGTCAGGAGGGGGGAACCACAACATCGGCGGGTTCAGCAATAAGACTGCACTTCCGTTCCGTCACTACAAAGATTGATATCTCTGGTAGCTTCACTTCTGCTTTTTACTTGCCGTCCTCTAACTGATGAGGCTGCAAAACATAGCCGTTCTTAGTAACGTTGTCGGCAATCAACGGGCTCGTACGTGAGTTAAGCCTACACTGGTGACTCGGCGACCGCCGTTGACCGCGTCGAGTTCGTTATCCCCGTTGTCCTGAGCCATAGCGGGGATCTTTTTGAAGTTCACAACGAACGAACCACCGCCACACCCGCTTCACAAATTACTGTAGCACGGAACTTCTTTACTGCCGCAAGCAGTCAGTAGCATCATTACAAAATGGCGCATGTCCGTGCGCGTCACGATGATGAAGCAGACGGAAAGCGCCCCTTGGCCAATCGGATGCCTAAATTTGGTCACGTGCCCCAAACAGCCAATTGAATAGCGCGTTAGTGCTTCTCGATGACACGTTTCTGCTAAAACACTAATGAGCAAGGTGAGCCAGCGGTGGCGGGAAATTGAAGATTAAGAACGACCCTTCCAAACGAGACCAGGATGAACACGATAGCTCGTGTGTAACGACAACAGTTCGGCGTGGAAAAAGCACGATTTTAGCGTCAATGTGCGCTCACATTCATCTCACAGGGATATTATAAATTGATTTTGCGCCAGAAATAATGACGCGAGAAGCTAGAAACTTCTCAGATAAGTGCAAAAAAAAGACGCAGATTTCGAAAATGTCAGCTTCGAAAAGTCAATTTTTTTGCGATTTTTGGCCTTCTAAGACCAGTGTCCCCCCTTAAATATGTGAGCCGGGAATTTCATAGTCCAATTTCGTTGAAGTGGAACAGCAGGAAAAAAATGTTAGTTGGGCTTAAATATTTTTGCATTGACTCTTATGGACAGCTGATGGGGAATTGAGAATTTTTCGTTGTACCAGGAAATTCGTTGAAGTTGGCGTTCATCTTAGATGGGGTTCAACTGCATCTATTCCTATGGAGTTTCCAGATTTCACGCCACTATCTCCAAAAATAAATGTGACACACATTCTGGCAGCATGTGGGAAGCTGTTAGTGAAAAGGTTGCCTTAACTACATGTCATATGACTTTGAAATTACCTATCAGCAACGCTTATAGAATGGATGACGTCTATCGATGAAGCTGCCCCACTTGCTCGCTATCGATTTGCCTAGACATCTGGAACCACATGCGGAAAGCGCGTTTTGCTGTTGAGCTGACTAACATAGCAGAAGCTGACTAACATAGCAGAAGCTGCATCGGAATCGTGCATAGCATCGTGAATTACAAGGCACACACACGACCGCTGTTTATTCAGCGAATAATTCTTGGTGCGTGTTTGTAACTTTGGCATAGAACAAGCTGCACATGTTTCGGCACGTTGAAGTGGCTGGCTATTTTTATTGCATGTGATAGACGCTCCCAAACCCTAGACTTTGATGCAGTTCGGCACAATTTCTCCTGACATTATCAGGATTGCAGAGTAAATCTGATTCGGCGCACTTTAGCACAGGAGTGGAACCACTGCCTCATGCATGATTTGGTGTGCTGCAATGCATGCTGGAGTATTTTTAAACTGACATAAAATTCCTACCCGAGACCGATGAGAAGTGAGCAGTTTATCTCGGTAACGAAAGAGTGAAGTAGTATATTTGAAGTAGTATTTCACAGATAGCTTCACCTATTGCCTGGGCATGCCCTTACCCCCATTATGCGCCTCTGCAGTTAATAGACGCGTGGTGTCTTGAGCCATCTCTTGTCTTCCTCTAGGTGAGTTGGAGGTTAACCAGGATAATGCAAACCATCCTCTAGACTCACCACTGCAAACAGGCAGGCCACTGTGGCGAGAGCAACGATGACACCAACAAAGGTGCGCATGCTGGTCCGCTCGTCCTCGGTGAGCAGCGGGTGTCGGCAGCCAATGCCACAGCCTTCCACCTCAGGGTACCAGCTGGTCTCCCGCGGTGTCCCCACCAGAGGCTCCAAGCATCGGCTCGTCGTGTTGAACTTGATCTCGCGCATGGTGTCCTGAGAGTACACGTTTTTCCGTCAGTCAGACCTAACCACGCTCACACACAGCGGCCTAAATTGCTCCATTGGTCCTAACATTCTCCAATTACTGCTGTATTACATCAGCAAATTTAATCCTATGCATCTCACTTTACCAACTGTGGCTGGAGTTCAACTCTACAGCGGAGTAGGATAAGGTGTGAACACTGATGTGATTGGCCGAACCCATTTCCAAGAAGGCTTTCAGAGCAACTAAAAGTGCATTTAGTATCAGGAAAAAGGCTTTTCAAGCAGCAAAATCGCTTTCCAAAATAGAAAAAAAAAAGAAACTTTTTTGAAGCAACTGAAAGTGTATTTTAGAGCAGAGAAAGGGCTTTTGTAGTGACTAAGGGCTCCAAAAGTCCTAAGCACCAAGTCATCATCATCAGCCTGACTACGTCCACTGCAGGACAAAGGCCTCTCCCATGTTCCGCCAGTTAACCCGGTCCTGTGCTTGCTGCTGCCAATTTAAACCCGCAAACTTCTTAATCTCATCTGCCCACCTAACCTTCTGTCTCCCCCTAACCCGCTTCCCTTCTCTGGGAATCCAGTCAGTTACCCCCTCAATGACCAGCGGTTATCCTGTCTACGCGCTACATGCCCTGCCCATGTCCATTTCTTCTTCTTGATTTCAGCTATGATATCCTTAACCCCCGTTTGTTCCCTAATCCACTCTGCTCTCTTCTTGTCTCTTAAGGTTACACCTACCATTTTTCTTTCCATTGCTCGCTGCGTCGTCCTCAATTTAAGCTGAACCCTCTTTGTAAGTCTCCAGGTTTCTGCTCCGTAGCTAAGTACCGGCAAGATACAGCTGTTATATACCTTCCTCTTGAGGGATAGTGGCAATCTACCTGTCATAATTTGAGAGTGCTTGCCGAATGTGCTCCACCCCATTCTTATTCTTCTAGTTACTTCAATCTCGTGGTTCGGCTCTGCGGTTATTACCTGCCCTAAGTAGACATAGTCTTTTACAACTTCAAGTGCACTATTACCTATCTCGAAGCGCTGCTCCTTGCCGAGGTTGTTGTACATTACTTTAGTTTTCTGCAGATTAATTTTAAGACCCACCTTTCTGCTCTCCTTGTCTAACTCCATAATCATGAGTTGCAATTCGTCCCCCGAGTTACTCAGCAATGCAATGTCATCGGCGAAGCGCAGGTTACTAAGGTATTCTCCATTGACTTTTATCCCTAACTGTTCCCATTCTAGGCTTCTGAAAACCTCCTGTAAGCATGCGGTAAATAGCATTGGTGAAATTGTGTCCCCCTGCCTTACACCCTTCTTGATTGGTATTCTGTCGCTTTCTTTATGAAGCACTATGGTAGCAGTTGATCCCCTGTAGATTTCTTCCAGAATGTTTATATATACTTCATCTACGCCCTGATTCCGCAGTGTTTGCATGACGGCTGATATTTCTACTGAATCAAACGCCTTCTCATAATCTATGAAGGCTATGTATAGGGGTTGGTTATACTCTGAGCATTTCTCTATTACCTGATTGATAGTATGAATGTGGTCGATTGTTGAGTAGCCTGTTCGAAATCCTGCTTGTTCCTTTGGTTGATTGAATTCTAATGTTTTCTTTACTCTGTTAGCAATTACCTTTGTAAATAGCTTGTACACTACAGAGAGCAAGCAATTCTTCAAGTCCTTGTCATCTCCTTTCTTATGTATTAAGATGATGTTAGCGTTCTTCCAAGACTCTGGTACCCTTCCCGTCAGGAGACACCTCGTAAACAGGGTGGCTAGTTTTTCTAACACAATCTGTCCTCCATCTTTCAGCAGATCTGATGTTACCTGATCCTCACCAGCAGCTTTGCCTCTTTGCATGCTCTCCAAAGCTTTTCTGACTTCTTCTATCCTTACTGGTGGGGTGTCGTCTGGGTTACTGCTAGTTCTTATATTATTAAGGTCGTGGTTGTCTCGGCTACTGTACAGATCTCTGTAAAACTCCTCCGCTATTTTAACTATCCTATCCATATTGGTAGTTATTTTGCCTTCTTTGTCCCTTAGTGCATACATCCTACTTTTGCCTATTCCAAGTTTCCTCTTCACTGCTTTGAAGCTTCCTCCGTTTTTCAGAGCGTGTTCAATTCTCTCCATGTTATACCTTCTCACATCGCATACTTTACGTCTAATAATCAACTTCGAAAGCTCTGCTAGTTCTATTTCGTCTGTTGTACTTGACACTTTCATGGTTTGACGCTTCTTAATTAGGTTCTTCGTTTCCTGGGAAAGCTTGCCAGTGTCCTGTCTAACTACCCTGCCTCCAACTTCCACTGCACACTCCGTAATGATACTCGTCAGATTATCATTCATTGTATCTACGCTAAGGTTGGTTTCCTCACTAAGAGCCGAGTACCTGTTCTGCAGCGACACTCTGAATTCCTGTACTTTCCCTCTCAGTGCTAGCTGATTGATTGGCTTCTTGCGTATCAGTTTCTGTCGTTCCTTCTTCAAGTCTAGGCGAATTCGAGACCGTACCATTCTATGGTCACTGCATCGTACCTTGCCAATCACTTCCACATCCTGCACGATTCCAGGGTGTGCACTCATTATAAAGTCTATTTCGTTCTTATTTTCGCCATTAGGGCTCCTCCATGTCCACTTGCGGTTTTCTCGTTTTCGGTAGAAGGTATTCAAAATCCGTAAATTATTGCGTTCTGCGAATTCTACTAGTAGCTCTCCTCTGGCGTTTCTAGTACCGATGCCATAATCTCCGACTGCCTGGTCTCCAGCCTGCTTCTTCCCTACCTTTGCATTAAAGTCGCCCATCACTATAGTATACTGTGTTTTTACCTTACTCATTGCCGATTCCACGTCTTCATAGAAGCTTTCAACTGAAGCGTCATCATGGCTGGATGTAGGCGCGTAAGCCTGTACTACCTTCATCTTGTATCTTTTATTCAGTTTAATTACGATACCTACCACCCTTTCATTAATGCTATAGTAGTATTCCTCTATGTTGCCAGCTATGTTTCTGTGAATTAGAAACCCCACTCCCAGTTCTCTTCTGTCTGCCAAGCCCCTGTAGCAAAGGACGTGCCCATTCTGTAGCACCGTATAGGCCTCATCTGTCCTCCTAACCTCACTGAGCCCTATTATATCCCATTTAACACCCTCTAGCTCCTCGAATAGTACAGCTAGACTTCCCTCACTAGATAAGGTTCTAGCATTAAACGTTGCCAAGTTCAGGTTCCAATGGCGGCCTGTCCGGATCCAGAGATTCTTAGCACCCTCTGCTGCGTTGCAGATCTGACCGCCGCCGTGGTCAGTTGCTTCGCAGCTGCTGGGGACTGAGGGCCGTGAGTTATTTGACGTAAGCATGTGGGAGGTAGTGGCCAGATACTGCACCAGGGTGGCCAATCCTTCTCTGGTGAGGGAGTGCGTTCTCGGCAGTGTTTGCCGGTGAGGCCGCACCCCAGGCCTCTTAATGCAGTTCCATCAACACGTGGATTTTTTTTTTTTTTATCCGGTTGGGAACTGCGCGGTACCGGGATTTGAACCACAGACCTCTTGCATGCGAGGCGGATGTTCTAACCACTACGCCATCGCCCTAGCACCAAGTAGCAAAACTCAATTTGAGAAAACTACAATGGCTAAATGAAGCAGAACTCAGCATCATTACATTCCATGCCGGTCGAGTTTGGACTACTTGCAGTGCAACTGCTTATAGTGAACGACAGGCTATAATGCAGTCGTTTCTTACTCCTGTTTAGTGTTCAATGGAACTCCACAAGTGCGCATATTGCTTATTGCAAAATACCTGAGATGAAAGACCAGTTTATGATCCGACCCAGATAAGCGAGGAAACGACCGTGCCAGTCAACAGAGGTACACCATCTGGGATAAAGCCGTAACGAAGGAGGAGGGTAGAACGTGGAGCGAACTAACGAGAAGTCGAGCAGGGAAAGAAAAAAAAGGATGCATCAAGGGTGTGTGGAGTGATGAAAGGTCCTCTGTACTCTGTTTCAGAAGTTTCCTTCATCACTGTGGAGGCTACAGGCCTCTCAGCCAATAGAAAGGGCGCTTAGCCCCCTCCACTTGAATTCATTCGTGCTGTGTGGCCTGCCCACTGTATTCACGGCGTCTGCTTAACGAATTGTAGTTATTATTACTAGTTTATCAACTTAAAAATGCGGTAAAGCTACTAAACAAAACTACACAGGGAACTTGAAGCGTGAATTTGTTGCTCTGCTGAAGATCAGTAGAGCCTCATGCCGGCAAATAACTTCACTCTGGGGCTGTTTCTCTCCAACACTGTTCGTGGTTTTCGTATGTCTGTTTTTTTGTCGACACGTTCCTTCGCATCTCCCGCTAAAACGCTCCTTTTGTCTCTTTTTTTTGTTTCCGCCGGAGGAGGACTGCATTTCGCTGCACAAGTGTGTGGCTTTCCTACACCCCGCAGCTTTGGTAGTGCTGAACCAAAGTGGTGAAACAGAGTAAAGGCACTAGAGGTGCCTGTGCTCTGACTGCTTGCCGTGCATTCCCTACTCACTCTCGACACCAAACATGTACCCACGTAAAGTGAACGGTACTGCTGTTAGACTTGTTGTCTGGTAAATTTCTACGTCGCTCAAGCAACTTTCATTCCACCATCAATGAACGCGGTATTCCACAAATGTAAAGGCTTTGCGGTGCGGAACTCCGCCTTTGCCACCAGCAGGTGGACTTGACAGCAAGGTAGGCTATGCAGCCTAGTTGTCACAGCTCTTCTCCTGACCATAAACCGAAACTTTTTTTTTTTTTTGCACTAATACTCTTGGTTGAGCCTCACAAGTGCAATCCCGTTGGCCTCATGTTGTCCTTCCCAAGTTGGGATGCCAAGTAGCAAATCCCCACACTAGGCCTAATGAGGGCACACCCGTAATTGATCATGGCAGCAGTTTGGTGCTGAGTCAACGAAAAGCATTGCAGTGGTTACGTTCTGAAAGAAGAGAAAACGACTTACCAATTCTGGAAGCACAGACTAGCGTGGT